ATGTGCTAATGAGGAGTGGGGGCGGGAAGGAGGGAGGTGCAGGGCTCCTTTCCTAGAGAGAGGGCCCTGGGCTGAGCCCCAAACCAAACCAGCCATGCGGGGACTGGGCCCCCTGGGGCAGGGACCCCCCTCACCCCACACCCACCAACCCCCAGCCACGGCTGGGGTCACCTCAGTGCCCCCCAACATCACAAGGCTCGTCAGGGGCTCTGGGTGCCACATCTAAAAAAGCACTTTATTGTCTTGGGGGGGTTCATGCCAGCAGTGCTGTCCCCCCCCGAGGATGGAGGATGCTGTGGGGTGGGTTAGGACTCCCCCCACCCTCGGAGCCCCGTGCTGAGCTCCTACAGCTTTTTGTTACCCCACTTGGCCATCTTGTTGTTGATGGGCATCTTCTGGAAGCGGCTGGACTTCATGTAGGCAGCCACCTTCTCCAGAGCCTGGGGACACAGCTGGAGCGTCAGGGACGCCCCCAGCGCCACAGCCCCCACCCAGGGGTGACCTCAGGGTGCCCCTGCTCACCCCAAAGCGCTCCACAAAGTCCTTGAGGTTCTTGAAGGGCTCCAGGCACTTGGGCTCAAAGATGCGGTTCTGGTCCAGCACGTCAAACATGAGGAAGTCTACGAAGGTCAGCTGGGGACATCGGGGGGACACAGTGAGGACAAACCCCCTCTCCAGCCCCCTCAGCCCCCCTGGCAGTCCTGGCAGTACCTTCTCCCCCACAAACCACTTTCTGTCCCCCAGGAAGTTGGAGAAGAGCTTCAGCTTCCCCGGGAGCTGCTCCAGGTAGCCCGGCTTGAGCTTCTCCTGAGGAAGGGAGGAAGGGGTGAGGAAGGGCAGCCCCAGCCTGTCCTGTCACCCTGGGGAGCACCCTGCCAGCGTGGGGTCCCCAGGGCTGGACAGCTCCCCCAGCCTGCAGGACACTCACAAAGTCAGGGTTGTAGCAGACCATGACGAGGCTCATGCGGAAATCCATGATCTGGTTCTCCAGCATGTCCACACGCAGGATCTCCTCCTCTGTCTCACCACCTGCACGGGCTGATGTCAGTGCTGGGGGCACAACCCCCCCTGAGCCCAGCTCTGCTCCTCTAAAACCCCCTGAGCCCAACCCTGCTCCTCTAAAACCCCCTGAGCCCAGCCCTAACCCTAACCCTGCTTCCCCAAACCCCCCTGAGCCCAGC